ATCCAAATATATTAAATTATTAAATTTTTATTTAATATTCATGTTTAAAAGTAAAAAAAAAAAAATCAAACTAAATATATTAAAAATGAATGGAACGGAGTATATGATCATTTTTATCCAAATATATAAATTATTAAATTTTTATTTAATATTCATGTTTAAAAGTAAAAAAAAAAAAATCAAACTAAATATATTAAAAATGAATGGAAGGGAGTATACGATCATTTCTATCCAAATAAGTGCACCATAATAGAATGGTCCAAGCTCTAAAAGACAAATGTGGTCCTTAATCTCAAAAACTTGTAGATTTGGGCAAATAAACTTCTAAGTAGAAACTACACTTGATCTTGGCTAAGGTTGAGAAATTACACTTGAACTATTTCCATTAGGCCAAATTATGCACCCCAATACTAAACGCTTGGGTTCTCTATGTTGAGAATTCAACTCTCACTTAACACATAAAGAGAACTATCTTATTTTAAAACTTACAAATTTCTCTATTAATGACCCTTTAATCTTCCTAATACTAAATAAATTATTAAGATTTCATATAAATAATATATAAAAATTATATGTAAATAAATTTTAATTTAATAACTCTTTGTTTTTATATTTATCTTGCAAATTTACTCTAGCCTTATTATAGATAACATGTCTCTAACCACATCAAGTGAAAAAAAGGAGAAGCATAAAACTTATGCGCCTATTTTGTTTGAGAAATTAGCAATGATAGCAATGAGTTGCTTAGTTAGTCGGAACGTTTTCTTCTCCTTTGCCAATTGGAATAAATAGCCATTGGCCTCTTGTTTTTATTTGCTCTTACTTTCTAAGATGATGTTATAGGGATAAATTTTTTATACTATATTTTTATATAATTTTTATATGTCATTAAATGAGTAAATGCATTTAATATCATAAGTTTTACATAAATTAAAAAAATTAATTATTTCAAAAAATTAATCATTTTAATAATACTTCGTATTGTAAAAAAAATGAGACAAAAAACGATTCAAAAAAATCATTTACCCGTTTCCTATTTCGACTCCAACGAAATTTTCTAATTTTCCGATTCAGATTTATGCTTCCTTTCTAATTTTCCGATTCATATTTATGCTTCCTCCAACCAACAGACAACCAACATAACCAATTCACTCCCAATTTCATGTCATCTATCTTTCACCGGTCAAAAAACGGAACACAAACTCCGATCCGTAAATCGAGCATGACAGTATCGATCACCGCCGCGATTCAGACTGTAAATTATTGGCTGTCGGAACACCCATTGATCGTTAACTTCCGTTGGAATCACACCCAATCCTGGGGCTCCACCTCTTCACCGCCATCGCTGCCTACATCGTTGCTGCCATCACCCTCCACATTACCCTTTCCCTTCTCTTATCCAAGCGCCGTAAGATACCACTAGGCCCAATCCCAGTCCTCCACAGCCTCTGCGTCTCCTTAATTTCAGTTGCCACGTTCCTCAGCATTCTCCTCTCCTCCGCTGCCGAGATTCGCGACACTCGCTGGTTCTGGCGCCACACTAAGAGCGTCACCAGCCCTTTGCAATGGCTCCTCTGTTTCCCACTTGGACCGCATCCCTCCGGCCGCGTATACTTCTGGTCTTACGTCTTTTACCTCTCTCGATTCCTCCACCTCCTCCCTACATTCTTCACAATTTTACGGCATCGGAAAATCAACTTCTTCCAGCTTTTTAACCAGTCCATTCTCTTATTCATGTCCTTCCTCTGGCTCGAATTCTCTCAATCCTTTCAAGTTTTGGCGATTTTACTGGCGACGTTGGCGTACTCAGTGGTGTACGGATACCGGTTCTGGAAGGCAATCGAGTTGCCAAGCGCCTGCTACCCGTGTGCGGTGGACTATTGGGTGGTTCTTCTTCTGGGTTGCAATTTGGTCTGCCATTTTGTGGTTCTTTTGCTGCATTTCTTGAAAGGAGGCTGTAACGAGATCGGCGCTTTGGTGTTCAATGCCGTCCT